TGCCAGCCATTCCCCTTCCCATTGTTCCCCTTCTAATGGAACAGTCCTTTTACCTAAACCCCCCATTCTTCAAGATTCAAACTTACACTCTCAAGGCGCACATTTTGATATCTTACTTGTCAGGCTGTGTCTTCTCTACCACTTGTTACCAGATTTTGCGCCAACTCCATTTCCCCCCTCCCCTCATGACCTAAACTCATGATCTCTTACATTTCTTTTGTATAATTCCTTCTACTTCCTTCCACAAAAGGTTTAATTACCTTCCCTTTCCTCATTTCCTATAAATTCATGTATCTTTGATAGTTACATGTCATGAAGAATTCCACAAGCACCCTTTTGCCCAGTTCTTAGTCCCAGTTAGTTTCCTAGTCTTTCCAGTCTCCCCCCAGTCGTCTTCTTCTTCCTCCAGAACCTTCTCTTCATCCCCTATCCCCCTTTTTCCTCCCCAACTCCCCTCCCTTTGCACAACTCTTCAGAACCTCGGCACCCACACACCCTAGGAATAGAGACTATTTCTCTCTAGACCTACCCTCTACAGCGGTGACAGCCCATCAGAGAAATATGGGTACTCTCTGTAGATCTACAAAGACAAAAATAGACCACTAGATTGGTTAGCAACCCTCCCATCTATACTGACTCTATACAGACATTAGTACATGTCATACTCACTGTAGTGCTGTGGTACTATTGTCTAATACCTCTAATCACACCTACTTGGAAGTCTATCTCAGTAGACATTTACCTATGGTGCTCAATGTATAGTACACACCAATCTACATAGATCTAAATCATTAAGACAAGTGTAGAGAGCTGTCTACCACTAGACTGGTTCTAGATACCAAGTAGAATTATTGTCTACTGGGTATCTATTGGTTAGGTTACTATCTAAACAATATCTAATTCCCATTTGGACATTTTCCTGATGCCCCAAACTCGGATAGTCCGTGGGTGTCTTTCCAATCGATGAGCTCGTCCATCCATGCTTCATAATTGTCGTAGATAGGTTCTCTGTTGTACATAGAAGGTTTGTAGAACTTCAAGGCCTTTAATCCTGCTTTTCGTTCCTTCTTTTCCTTCTTTAGACGCCTTTTCTGCTTACGCTTAGCGCGTTTGCACTTATGCATCTCCTCCTCAGAGCTACTATCTCCTTCCGAGATCGTTGATTTGCTACTCAAATCGGCGGAGCTACTGGAGGAATTGTCATCATTCGGGTCATTCGGATCACCATCCTGGATCACCAAGTTTCCTCGCAACGTGCTATCATCTGGAACCCTTGACGACGCTCTCTGAGCCGTCACAGAATAATCTTTCGATTTTTTCTCTGCATCAAGGTAAGCCTTTACTAGGTCTTCCACATCCCTAGCACTCATTTGTTGCTCGGTGAAGAGAGTCCTTCCTCACGGATATAGGACGGGTTTGGGGTGATCCAGAGGGTTGGTAAGGTAAGGAAATCGAGCTGAAAGGGGATTTGAGGGGTAGAGTGGGATTTGGGACGATGCTGGGGGCTTGGGAACGAGAGCGATACCCTCCAGGACACGCTCCTGGAGGCTGTTGACTTAGGCGGACACTT